GAGAACAGATCGAGGAAGAGACAATGTAAGAATTGTTGAACTACCTGAAAGTTACAATTTTTAAAAAAAAGAATCTTGATATAATATTGCAAGAAATTATTAAGGAAAGTTGCCCTGAAGTTCTTGAACAAAAAGGTAAAGCAGAAATAGAAAAAATCCACTGATCACCACCTGAAAGAGATCCCAGGAGAAACATAAGATAAATTTTAAAAAACAATTTTAAGGGACTCAAGGTCAAGCTGTTTACTTCTTATATGTGAAAATGCTATCAATACGCCTAAGACTGTCAATATTATTTTGGGTAGTTTGAAAGAAAGGCTTGGGCTAAGCTGAGCATGATGGGGTGGTTCTAAAAAATAAAACTGGATGGGGAGAGGTAAAAATGAGCAATTATCTCATACAAATAAGGTGTGAAAGGAAGAACTGATACAGAAGAAGCAAGTGGTGGTGCTGGAACCCTGCTCTCATCAGAAATGGGTTAAAGAGGGAAAAACATAATCTAAAAGAGTTATAAAAGTCTTCTAAATTTCTAAAGAAATAAGAGGGCTGAAGATAAGATAAAGTAGGGACTTTCAAAAGGGTGTGTAGATTAAGAATTAGGAGGGTTAGGGAGAGGATAAGGGAAAGACTTTTAGACTAGTGGGTCGATTAAGAAATAGGGCCAGGTAGTAGTTAGAAATAAATTAAACAGCACTGGCGCAGAAGTCAGGATGACATGAGTTCAAATCCAGCCTCAGACCAAATACGTGACACTTACTAGCTATGTAACCCTGAGCAAGTCACTTAATCCCAATTGCCTAAAATAAATAATAAATTTTTTAAAAAGAAATAAACACATGAGAAGGGATAGGATAAATAGGGTAAGAAGGTTAGTGAGGAAAAATAGGATGGAGGGAAATACACAACAAGTAATTATAACTCTGAATATGAATGGGATGAATTTACCCATAAAAACAGAAATGGAAAGCAGCATGGATTAAAAATCTGAATTCAACAATATGTTGCTTACAAGAAACACAATAAAAAATGAGACATACACACAGAGTTAAAAAAAAAAGGGCTGGAGTAGAATTTATTATGCTTCAGCTTATGTTAAAAAAAAAAAAGCAACCCTTTGACCCAGCATTAGCACTTGTAGGGCTGTTATCCCAAAGAGATCATACAAATGGGAAAAGGACCCACATGTACAATAATATTTATAGCAGCTCTTTTTGTGGTAACAAAGAAAAAGAATTGGAAATTGAGGGGATGCCCATCAACTGGGGAATGGCTGAACAAGTTGTGGTATATGAATGTAATGGAATACTATTGTGCTATAAGAAATGATGAGCAGGTGGACTTCAGAAAAACCTGGAAAGACTTGTATGGACTGATGCTGAGTGAAATGAGCAAAACTAGGAGAACATTGTACACAGTAACAGCCATGTTGTGCAATGACTAACGTTGATAGACTTAGCCCTTCTCAGCAATGCAAGAATCTAAGCCATCTCCAAAGGTCTCATGATGGACAATGCTATTGATGTCCAAAAAACCAACAAAAAAAAACACGCGGTTTGAATGCAGATCGAAGCATACTATTTGCTTTTTTTTTTCTTCTGTTTGTTTTGTTTTCTCTTTCTGGTGGTTCCTCCTCTTGGTTCTAATTCTTCCTTACAACATCTTGACTAATGTGAAAATATATTTAACAGGAATGTACATGATAGCCTATTCAGATTGCGCACCCGACTTGGAAAGGGAGGTGGGGAAGGAGGGGAAGAAAAATTTAAAACTCAAAAGCTTATGGAAGTGACTGTTAATAAATCAAAATAAATTAATAAAAAAGCTTTCCAAAGTTAAAGCTGGAATAGATTTAATTAAAAGAGACAAACAAGGAAACTATGTGTCACCAATATCATTCAATATTGTTTTAAACCATTTAAAATAACTGTAGACTGGGGCTCTCACTGATTGGCCAACACTAGGTCCCCGCCCAAGCCTCATTGTTTGGGTTTGATGGCTCAGAGTCTGTTTAAACAGCAATTGTTTCTATTTTGGCCAGAAAGCCTAAGGGTCTTCCCCTCAGGTTGATTTTCTTTCTTTCTTTCTTTCTTTTGACTAGGTAAAAGAGAGCTTTGGGTTTTTTGGGGGTGGGGGTTGTGTTTTGTTGAGTTGGGTTTTTTTTTTTGCCTCATTTCTTATCTAGTCTTAATCACCGATTGGGTGTTGCCTCAGACAAACTGAGATCTGGGAAAGACCTCAGCTTAAAAGGGCCAAGGTCTCCCACTGCATCTGGGACCATCTCCAGTTGTCCTGATCTATTTCTTGCCACTGGACCCAGATGGCTCCTGAGAAGAGAGTGAAGCTGGTGACCTTGCACAGCCCTGCCTCACTTAAATCCAATTCCCTTGCAAGTCAAGATATCACCTTCCTGATGTCATTGGTATTCTTTGAGAACAAAGGACACAACCTGAGAATATAACTTCCAAAACAGACCCAGGAACTACATGAACATAGTTATAACACAGTCCTTGTACAAATAAAGTAATATTTAAATAATTGGAGAAATACTCATTGATCATGGGTAAGCTAAGACAATATCATAAAATGACAATTTTGTTTAACCTATTTATTCGATGCCAGCCCAATTAAATTATTTTTAAAAATATATTTTACCTAGTTAGAAAAACAGCAAAATTCATTTGAAAGAACAAAAGGTCAAGAATTTCAAAGAAACTAATGACAAAAATGTAAAAGAAGCAGGATAAGCAGTACTAGATTTCAAACTAAGGCAATAAATATCAGAACTATCCGGTACTGGCTAAGAAATTGAAAGGTAGATCAGTAGAACAGAAATAGACATATAATACACAGTAGCAAAGGACTATGGTAATCTTGTGTTTGACAAATGTAAAGATTTAAGTTTTAGGGATAAGAATTCATTAATTTTTTTAAATGGTTGGGAAAGCTGGAAAGCAGTCTGGCAGAAATTGGGCATAGAACAATGTCTTAAACCACATACCAAAATAAGGTCAAAATGGATACATGACCTTGGCATAAAGGGAGATGTCACAGGAAAATTAGCAGAACATGGAACATATTACCTACCAGACTCATGGATAGGAGAACAAACTTACGAATAAACAAGAGATAGAGAGCATCATGAGGTATAAAATGGATAATTTTGATTGTGTTAAACTAAAAATGTATTGTACAAATAAAATCAATATAGCCAAGATTATAAGGAAAGTAGAAAATTGGGGGGAAAACTTTCATAGACAGTCTCTCAGATAAAGGCTCATTTCTCAACTACATAAAGAATTTTGTCAAATATATAAGAATACGAGTCATTCTCCAATTTATAAATGGTCAAAGGATATGAACAGGTAGTTTTTCAATGAAGAAATCAAAACTATAAATATTCATATGAAAAAATGCTATAAATAATTATTAATTAGAGAAATGAAAATTAAAACAGATAGGCTAAATGATAGATGCCCTTCAATTAGGAAATGGCTAAACAAGTTGCAGTATATGGTTGTGATAGTATACTACTAGGCTGTAAGAAATGAGCTGGTTTTAGGAAAATGGGAAGACCTGGACCTGTGAAGGAAGATACTATCCACCTCCAGAGAAAGAACTGACAAACAGAAATATGTATAGTATGGTGTTACATGTGTGTATATGTGCATGTGTATCACTGTTTAATTGTAGCCTTCTCTAAGGAAGGGTGGGGAGAGAGAAAAAAAATAAAAAAGAAAATTTAGAAACACAGAAAAGCTGGGTAGTTTTGAAAACAATTTTTCACATAGTTTTTAAACAAAAAAAGCAGTCTGAAAAAAGTAAACAAACTGAAAGGTTTTGTATTGAATCCTCTCTTCTGCTGTGTACATAGAAATGTTCTTTTTTTCTCATTTTGTATTTAAGTTTAAAATGAATTAATTTTTTTAATTAGGATATTTGCTCTTATCCAACTCTCTGGTGCTCTCCTATTCACAATGTTCTTTTGAAGAAAAAAAAGCTTAAGAAGTTGACAATCAAGGAGGGAAATAAGAAAACACCTACCTGCCCTTTATGAATTTAAGTCAGATGAACTATATATCCTAGAGTAAAAGTGTTACACTCACTCTTGAGAGCTGCCAGAACCAAACGTTTAACCAAATAAATAAAAATACAACATAATGTTAATTTGTGGTTAATATGCAGTCTGCAGGGATCTCTTTAATTTTGACACTACTGTCTAAAGTGCTGAGAATCAATCAAGTATTTATTGAACATCTGTTATGTACCAGAAACTATTCTAGATGCTGGGGATCTTAGTACACAGAATAAAACAATCTCTACCCACAATGAGCTGAGGAAGACAAAAAGATAAAAATATGTATATACAGCATAAAGTTAACGAAAGTAAATAAATAATAAAATATAAAGTTAATACAAGTACTTAAATGTGTGTATATATATATACATATATATACATATATATGTATATATGTGTGTGTGTGTGTGTGTGTGTGTTCACATACACACACATGCAGTAATAAAACACAAGGAAACCTGAAAGGGACAACACTAGAAGTTGGGGGGGTGGGGGTCAGCAAAGGCTTCTTCATGCAGAAGCTGGTGCCTGAGCAGCACCTTAAAGGAAGAAAAGTCTATGAGTTGGAGGTAAGGAGGGAAAACATTCCAGGTGTAGCAAACAGCCAAAGCAAAGAACAGCTGGGAGATGGAGTGTCATATGTAAGTGTAGTGGTAATGTATTTTGATATGACAACATATTTGTGATCTTTTGATGTTTCTCAAACTCAATTTTGTCATGTAGGGCTTATCTTGAAACTGATTTCTGATGCAGCTGTGGAAATTTACTAGTTGACTAGAAAAATCCTCCATGCCTTGGCTTCCTTTGATTGTGTATTCTGATAAGCTACTTTCCTTCTTGGCATAAGGCTATCACTGTCAAGATGATCCAAAGTTAGAACATTGAGTGGTCCTCCACTTAGTCTGCATATACAGATAAGACTTACCACCACTCAGATGCTCAAGTGGAGATGTCTCATCCTCTCCTGGAAAGTGAGGGGAATGCCCTATCCCTGTCCAGATGGTCAAACAGAATATCCTAGAAAAATTCCAGTCAAATACCTAGTCAGTGGAGCAATCACTGCCAGTCCCTTGACTGCAGGATGGTCTCCCTCCCTTTGCTAATGCCCAGGGATCAGTTTTCCCACCCCACAGGGATTACCTAATCCCCTATACAGAACTCCCTCAGTCTATGTCTCTCTCTCTTCCCTGTCCCCATTTAGGTTCCTCAGCCATTGAGTTGCTTCTCTCTGGACCATTGTACCCTACCCACTGACAGTGCTTGTGAATGTCAATGCACCATTAATAAAGCTTCCTAGGATGACCCTTGGAATCATCTCTTCCTGATAAAATCTGATCAAACCAGTTGGTTCGGTAACAAGCCAAGAAAGGGTCACAAGTACCTCTCTTTAGCTCACAAGCTACTGACCAAAGTTCCCGGTAGCAGCAGCTCTGCTGAGAGGGATTGGCAGTTTGCTTCCTAGCCTCCCTCTCCCAATCTTCTCTGGAGAAAATAAGGGCCAGTATCTCCCCTTAAATCATAAACCACTGCTCAAATCTGGGACTATGCAGCCAGATGGCTGCCTTGATACCCTGATAAGCATGGTGACATGATTCACGACTTGAACACAAATGCTCATGTTTCACCAGGAGCGTTTTCTCTATCATCTTAGACCTATGAGTGCTGATCAAGGCAGTGACCAGAGCCCCTGATACCTCTACCTTTTCAGGCAAGATTCCAAAGCCTGAACTGAATGCCTCGGGAACAGAGAATTCCCCTTCTGTTCTACTCTCTTGGATTTATAAGCCACTGACCAGAGCCAGGATAGGACTTCAGGTCTGCTGTGACTCAATGGTAGGGAACTCCTTCCTTATATTGTAGCTATACCTGCGCCCTCAAAGCAAAACAATAAGAAACAGAGAAAAGACTGGTTTGGATGGATTTCAGTATGTGGAAGGGGAGAATGTCTGATGAAAGGTAGGCCCAGTTGTGTGTGCTTTAAAAGCTAAACTGAGGAGCTTATATTTTATTCTAGAGAACTGGCAGATGTGATCGCTGAGCCATTGTAAGTTATCATTCAACGATCAGTTAAATACCAAGAAATGTTTGTCGAATTGAATTATCACTAACAATGACTCAGCAATCACACTATCAGTTCCTTCAGTACCCTAAAATATAGTTCATCTAAACAAATTTATCTGAACTTATCAACCACAATGTACTTTCACATCTCCTTATTTATCTTGAATGTAAATTCCCTTACACATTTTTTATTTTGCCCTTTCCTATCTTCTTAGTAGAAGAAACAGAAGCAAAAGGGTTGAATAGTTCTGTCTTTCCTCACCCTCAGTCCCAACCACCCAAAATATTGGTGCACAGAAGCCACTGAGAACAACCTCTCTGAGCAAGAATACCTTCTAACTATTGCTCAAAATAGTCATCTGCTTTGTGCTTAACGATTTCCCGTGAGAGGCCCTACTCCCTCTTATGACAGTCCATTCACTTCCAGAGAGCTATAATCACTATGAAGATTTTTTTCGTAAGTCAAATATAAATTACTTCTCTCTGAACTGTAGATCGCCATTGACACAGAGATTCTACTATTATACTTATACCCCAAGTAGGCCCATTGTTAAGAAATTCCCAATAAACCCAAAAATATTCATAGCTTTTTTTTGTAAAAGCAGAGAGTTAGAACACAGCATATGGCCATCAATTTGAAAATGGTTTGTTGTGGTGGTACAGAATGGAATGGAATGTTGCTGTGCCATAAGGAAAAATAAACATGAATACAGAGCTATAATACTGAATCAATAAACATTAAGCACCTACTATGTGCCAGGCATTGTGCTGAGTGTTTGGGGTTACAAAAAGGCAAAAAAAAAAAATCTCTGCCCTCAAGGAGCTCACAATCTAATAGGTAAGCAAGTGTATACAAACAAGCTATATACAGGAAAAGAGGGGTTGAGAAAGGCTACCTGTAAAAGATGAGATTTTAGTGAGGACTTAAAGCCAGGCAGGTCAGTAGTTGGAGAAGACACAAGAAGACATTCCCCACTCCATTCCTTTTCAGAGATGAAAAGTCCTTGGATATGGTACAGGTATGTCCTCAGAAATATCATTTCCCACCCATCTACACTCATTTTTTACTTGTTTGGCTTCTCCATCATGCCCCCAGTAAACTCATCAGTAGGCAATCTCATCATCTTGAAAGATCCCAACCTTGTTACTCACACCTCATCAGTACCCTCTACCCCTTTGCTAAAGCCATAAACTCCTCCATTTAAGGAAAGGGAACAGGACTGGCATCTCAGACATCTCATTTCCTCCTGCTGCTCCCCACATTCATTTTAGACTTCTCTGGCTTCTCTGGCAACACTCATTTTGGACACATTGGCTTTTTCACCATTTCTCCATTCTGAGTATCTCCCCTACTCCTTTTCAGCTTTGTGTGTTGTCTTCCTTCGTTAGATTGTAAACTCCTTGAAACCAGGGACTTTTTTTTTATATTTGTATTCTTAGCACTTAGCACAGTGGCTGGCATAGAGTGCTCAATAAATGTTTATTGACTATTGGTATATTGTACCTGTTTCCAGAATTTTTCCAATGTACTGATCAGTTCTGCTGCTTTTCCTCCTCTTTTTTCTTTTTTTTCTTTAAAAAAATATATCACATGGGATGGCTTTCTGGGAGAAATGATGGGGAGCGATACAGGGACAAATATTAGTGAAGTAAAAAAAAAATCAATAAAAGTTTATTTTTTAAAAAAATCTAGGCACGGCTAAGTGGCACAATGGATAAAGCACTGGCCCTGGATTCAGGAGAACCTGAGTTCAAATCCAGCCTCAGACACATAACACTTACTAGCTGTGTGACCCTGGGCAAGTCACTTAATCCCATTGCCTAGCCAAAAAAAAAAAATCTACCTAAATACATCATCCAGCCACTACTCTTAGCTCTGCCTTCAGCCTTTGGCACATAACAAACAAATCTAATCACTATTCTGCACCATAATAGTTCAAAAACTTGAAGACTGATGCCATTCCCCCATGTTCTTTCTCTTAGCTAAACATCCACAATTCCTTCAACCTTTCTAAAATATGCCCAGAATTGAACCAAGTATTCCAGACATGATCAGACTATAGTAAAGCATAGCATAACTATGTATCCTTCCTAATTCTGGAGTTTACCTAAGTTATTTTAATTCTGACATACCCTCATGTGGGAGGTAGAAATTTCGTTTAATACTTTTTAGTAATGAATAACAAATATCAAACTGGAATGCTGTGTTTGACAAAGTCTCAAAATTGCTAATGGACTTCAACATACATATTGATGTCCCCTCCAACACACCAATTTCCCAGTTCCTCAATCCACTCAATTTCTGTAGCCTACTCCCTTCACTCTACCTCAGCAATACATAGAGATGGTCTTATCTTTGATTTTGTCATCACCTACAAATGGTGCATTTTCCTATTCGTGAAATCCAAAATCCCTTTACCTGATCATAATCTTTTATCATTCCATTTTTCCCTTTGTCTTATGGCTGCTAAACCTTTTCTGCATCTTCACTATGACCTTCAATGCCTCAAACCCTCAGTACTTTCCCAGGCCCTCACTGTCTACATTCTCCTCCCTTCCTGATCTCAACCGCATGATGAGCCAATTTAACTCTAAACTCAAATATGTTGTTCCCCATCCTCAATTATCAATTGCCAAAAACCCACCGCTGGATAGTTCCCATTTTCTTCCTTCTTCAGCCTTATTCACATGCTGCTGAAGAGAGCTGGAGAAAATCACAAAACTATGATGATCATTTCCACTATAAGTTTTGTGTTATCTAATCTCAGCTGGACTCCTGGACCAAGAAGGCAATCCTTCTACTTCTCTCTAATTGAATGTCTATCCTATTCATTATAGCAGATGTTCCAAACCTTTTATCACAAGCCACCTACAACACTCTCTCGTCTTGTACTTCACCAAAAAATTTGAGGCCATCTGGTGAGAAGTCCTCCCCATCACATCTCACATTTCTTATGAAGAAGCAACCCATTTCTTTGTCAATGCCAATCTCTCTACATGTCTTTTTTTTTTGTGAGGCAATCAGGGTTAAGCGACTTGCCCAGGGTCACACAGCTAAGTAAGTGTCAAGTGTCTGAGGCCAGATTTGAACTCAGGTCCTCCTGATTCCAAGGCCAGAGCCCTATCCACTGCACTACCTAGCTGCCCGTCTATATGTACTCTTGATCCCCTCCACACCTCTATTATCTCTGTTCTTCAGTCTCTCTCCATATATTGGCTCCTTCCCTGATTACAAACATTCCCATGTCTCCTCCATTCGCAAAAAGCCCTCACTTGATCCTACAATCACTGTTAATGTCCCATAGCTCTCCTTCCTTTCTCTTATCAATTCCTTTAAAAAGTCATCTATATTCAATGCCTATACTTTTCCTTCTCTTACTCTCTTCTAAATCCATGGCAATCTGGCATCCAATCTCAAAATCCAACTGAAATTGCTCTCTCCAAAAGTATCAATGATCTCTTAATTGCTAAATAGATGGTCTTTTCTCAACCCTCATCATTCTTGACTTCTCTTCAGTACATGACACTATTGATCACCTTTCCTTCTATATATTCTCTCCTCTCTGAATTTTTGTGACACTGCTGTCAATTCTCATTCTACCTGTCTGATCTCTCTTTCTCAGTCTCCTTTATTAGATTTTTATCCCTGTCATTTGCCCTAATTATAGACTTCCTTCATTCAAGGTTCTGTCTTCTCTCTTCCATTTCATTTGGTGTTCTGATTAGCTCCATTATCCTTTCTATGCAGATAATTCCTCAATCTACATATCCAGCCCTAGTCTTCTCTTCTGAATGCCAGTTCCATACCTCCAAATGCTTGTTAGACATTTCGAACTAGACTACAGGCATCCAGATGTAACATGTTCAAAATACAATTCCCCCAAATATTCCACTCTTCCAGAGGCATGTTCTCCAGAAGAAAAAAATGTATGCATAATATATTTAAGTTTAATCTGCATTATTAACATTTTCTCCATCGCTTTAAGTCTAGATAACTAATAAAACAATAAATCAAGCCATGATTTATAGTGTTCACCCATTTCCAAAGTGCAAATGATCACACTAAAAAAACTTAATCAGTTATTGTAAGCCAGTACAAGTTGGCTACAGCACACTCCTGCCCTCTTCTAAACTTCTCTATTACTGTTGAGGGTATTCTCTATTCTCCTAGGCACCTAGGTCAATATCTTTGACTCCTTTTCACAACCCCAACTATGCCAAATCTTATTCATTTCTATCCTTGCCATATAATTCATATACTGCCTCTCTTTTCCTTTCATATAATCCAGTCCAGGCCCTCATTACTTCTTGCCAGGACTACAGCCTTCTAACTGGTTTCTCTGCCTAAAGTCTTTCTTTACTCTATTACATCCTCTACACAGCTGCCAAAGTGATTTTCCTTAAGTTTAAGTCAGACCCACATCACCCTACTGCCTTGCTCAATAAACTGCAAGATCTCTAATATCTCCAGCATCAAATATGAAGTTTTCTGTTTGGCACTTAAGACTCTTCACAATATGGCCCTTTCCTACATTTCCACTCTCCATTCCCTCTATAGTCTAACACTATCAAACCTACTTCCAGTTCCTCCTACATAGCACTCCAACTCCCAGCTCCATTCCTTTGCACTAATTGTGCCCCATATCTGAAATGTTCTCCCTCCTGATCTCTGCCTCTTAACAACTCTGGCTTCTTCTAAGATTCAGCTTAAATAATACTTTGTACAGGAAGCCTTCCCAGTCTCCCCAGTCACTTGAGCCTTCCCCCCTTAGGTTACCTTCCTTCTACCCAGTCTATACTGTGTACAAACCTATCTACATATTATCGCACACATTAATACAATGCCTGGCACATATTAAGTGTTTAATGTTGTTGACTGACTGACATAAATATACATCCTCCTTGTACTTTTGCCTTTCTTTGTCTCACCTTCTGAAGACTGGCATATCCCCTCCTCCTCTATAAAGCATTACCAGGAAAATATCAGCATTAAAGAAATGAACGTTTTTGAGCAAATGATTAAAGGACAATGGAAAAGTTCATGTGGTTTTAAGCAGGTTGTAGCATACTGTGAAAAACAATAAGTTTGAAAAGTATATAGTGAATGGCATCATTAAAGATGTGTGAAACTGAAAGAGATGGACTATTCATATGACAAAAATTATTAGAGACAAAAGGTAGACAGTCTGAATGTCATATTGGTACTCTTACAATAGTAAACGGACTAAAGGTCTCAAGTGTGTTGTGTGACTCCTCTGTGCAGGATTTACAGAAGGACATGGAAGAGCATCACACAGGTTGGGATAGCAAGATGGAAGCAATATATACACATATACACACATATGTGCTTCTAAGTACTTAAATAACAAGAATTATAAAATAAAAAAGAACCAAGTAAATATGCTCAAGTGTGAAACAGACATTTTACCAACAGGACTGTATACTTATCAATCCAAATTATAATTGATAACCCTTACTAATTTTAGTCTCAATATAATTTCAGTTAGAAATTTGGTTCTCCAAATCATTTCAATAGAGTTAGATTACTATAAGGTTTGCTGAGAATTTATATAGTTTTTACATAAAAGTGCTCATGGTAAACAATGTTATTAACAACCTTATTGAATATTAAACAAGACCTAACCAGAAATTCAGAAAATAAGTGACAGAATTATTGAAATACTTTTTGTTGCTCTTAGGTCTTTGGGGGCTAATCCATAAGAATTACCTCTTTTGTCTCTACTAATGCAGCAATAATTCTGAATAGTGACATGAAAAGAACTGGAATTTTCTGCCTTTTTCCCACAAAAAAAATCTTTATCTATATAATAACCAATGAAACTCATATAGAAAGAAGATATTTTCTGGTTCTGTTGTCATTATCATTGGAGTTGTAATTTGTACATCATAATGCAATAAAAATTTTTAGAATCCCATTCTATTTTACTGTAATATATTTTGCGTACATCAATGTTTTTGGAGGTCAAAGGAGAGGGGAGATGATATGCTGAATAAGTTGTGCATTTCTAGAAGTTAGAATTTTGACATGTTTCCTCCTGCCTGTCTCCCATAGCTACCAGTCAGAACTAGATGTAAAGTTCTTACATAAATCTATGGTTTTTTTCAATGCTACTCTTTGGCTTTTGAAGGCTATGATGGTGGTCAAGGAATAATGGCATCAAAACACTAACTTTTAGAATAAACCCTAGTAGAATACAACATGCAAGAGTATAAATGGCAATGAAATGAAATCCAACATATTTCTGCCTCTTGTTTTGTAAACTCATTTTTTAATTTAATTAACATTAATTATTTTCATTCCGAAGTGCTGATGACAAATGACACTGTCAGGAGGAATCTAGAAAATATTACAAAAAAATTAGGATGTTTAAGGCAGGAAACTGAAGAATTTAGGAGCACAGGTGGTGTTTTCATCACTGCTGCCAATCAAAGCAAGAGCTTTGGGTGGGGGGGGAGGATGCAGATGTGCAATATGAACAACTGGTTAAGAAGTTGGTATCTGAAAAAGAGATTTGGATTTCTGGACTACATCTTAAACTCTCTGAGCCTCAATTTCCTTATTTATAAAGGAGATAGGAGAGAATAATACTCCCTCACAGAATCATTGTGAGTCTCAAATGAGATAACAGATATAAAGCATATGAATATCAGTTATTATGTGAGGAAATTCAGGAATCAGAAAGTATGAACATGATAGAAAATATTTGGTTGAAGACTAGCAGAGTCACAAACAGAATCAATACTGCCTTCAGAGACCACTTAGCTAGAAAGAGAAATACATAAGTAATTTAGGAAACAAATCACATTCTCGGCATGAAATTATGCTATAAAAGTAAAGAAAGGCTTCAATTATCTGGATATGTGCTGGAGCACACAAGGTCTTTCTGGCCAAAGGGGAATAGCTAATAATATCTTGACATACTGTAATGAAATTTCATCCTTCAAAAGGTGGAGTAATCAATAAGGGAAACTTCTTATTCTCAACAAGAAGGAAATGATTGCTGCAGTGGAAATGATGAGAACCTTGAGAAGCAACCACCAAAACTTGGAACTTGTGATACAGATAGGAAAGTCAAGCACTGGTTGATACAGACTCTAGAGTTTGGGAGAACAAATATCAAAGTGTTCAAAGAAAGAACACCATGGAACAAAATTCTATAAGAAACCATCATGTTATAGGAGGGATGAGAAGTTCTCAATTATAGAGAAATAGTAAAGATAGAGAGGGATTTGTGAAGAAGATGGAAAGGAAGAAGTGTCTAAATAAACAAATTTAGAAGCACAAGGAACTCATCAAGCAACCTAGATTTTAAAAAAAATGTAAAATCAATCAACCAATAAGCAGTTGCTTACTACATTCTAGACACTGTACAGATTGAGCTCACCATCATCATCACCAGTGTTCTATATCCATGATCTAAACCTCAAATTTCTCTCTGACCATGACCACTTATCCCTTCCATCTCTACCTTTGCCTTACTTCCAAATATATTCTTGATCCTCACTATGACCACCAGCCATTCCATTCTAGATAAGTCTCCTGCTTTCTTACTTTTTGTCTTTAGTGAATTTGACCCTATAGCCTCTAAGTTTGAATCTCTTGCTCCTTTGTTCTATCACTATTCATGTTTTCCCAAACCATAACCAACCCTGGGTTACCCCACCATCCACCTTCTCTACTCCTAACTGAATGCTGCTGAACACTATTGGAGGAAGTTGCACAACCATGCCAACTGGGCCCACTATAAATTCATATTATCTAATCACTACTGGGCCATTGATGCTGCACAGAAATCCTTTTATTCTTCCCTAATTGACCACATCTTACTTCTCATACGGTGGCAATTCCAAACATCTTCTCTCAAATGGCTCAATATCAGGTACATTAAAGAAAGATATATTACCATCTGTTTTGCCACTACACACCAATGACATAAGTCCTTTACACTTAACTTGCATCTGAAACCTGCTCTACATGTCATCTCTTGCTGTGAGAATATAATTTCCTCAAGAACAGAGAACATCTTGTTTTTCTATCTGCATCTCCAGTACTTTTTATATAGTTTAATACATACATTTCAATTATTCATTTCCCAATTTTCCTAAACTATCAGATCCCTTTTTCTCTCAGCAGAGGGCACAGCCTATTTTTATCAACAAAGTGAAGGCTATCAGTCCCGAGTTAGTTTCCGATCATTCTAGACCTTATAACCCATTCAATATCACTCTCCATTATTTCCTCTTTTGCTAGTCCCTGATGAAGAGTTGGCTGTTTTTTTTTTTGTCAAGGCCAATCCATCTACTTTGTACTCTTGACCCCATCAGACCAGCTGACTCTCTCTAATCTTCACTCTCTCATTCTCTCCCTTGCTACTGGCTCCTCCTTCCCTGAAGCCTACAAAAACCACCAGGTAGCCATTCTTAAATAACCTTCACCTGACCTTGCCATAGGCTATTGTCCTTTTTCTTCTATTTTCTTAAAATTGAACACTTGGTGAGGGAAAATGCTTCCACTTTGTCTCCTCATCACTTCTGAACCCCTCATAATCTGTTTTGACTTCATTACTCAACTGAAACTTTCTTCAAAATAACCCAAAATCTCCTCATTGTTAAATCCAATGGCCTTTCTTCAGTCCTCACCCTTCTTAACCTTTCTGAATCATGAGAAACTGTTGAACCTACCCACCTCTTCCTCCTGACTACTATCTCTTCCCTGTGTTATAGTGTCAATGATATCTTCTGGTTTTCCTCCCGCTATCAGCATTCTCCTGCTGTAGGTATCCTTAACTCAACATATCCCAAACAAACTTCATTATCTTTTACCACAAATCCACCCCCCAACTATATTGAGAGTATCAGCATCCTTCTTCCAATACTGGCATTTTTACATTTTAAGTTATCCTCAACTTTTCCCTCTTCCTCATTCCTAAATCAGTTACCAAGTGTTGATTTTACTCCCATCCCATAATTTGCATCCATCCCTTTCTCTCCTTTCATATAGCCATTACGCCCTTATTACCTCTTGCAGAGACAAGTGCAGAATTCTAATTAGTCTCATTGTTTCTAGCCACCTCTTTCTAATACAGCCTTCACAACAGACAAAATATTTAACCTTCCTGGAGTACTGTATATCTGAAAGTGTCAGTGCCCTGCTCTACAAAACGCAATGGCTCCCTATTTATATACAAACACCTCAGCTTAGTTTTCAAACCGCTTTACAATGTAGCATCATCTTACCTTTCTAGTTTTTTTTAACCTTACTTCCCTCCATGTACCCTATATTCCAGCTAACCTGTTCTATTTGCCATTCTCCAAATTTGGTATTTCATACCCAACTCAGTGTCTTTGCACAGACCATCCCTTGTGCCAGCAATGTGCTTTCAGTTCACCTCAATCTGTTGGTATTCCAACACATATCATTCATTCCAATCAGATTGGTCATCATATTGTGCTGCAAAAATACCTCATTGTAACCTCTGTTTCTTTACTCCGGGTTTTTGCGTCCTACCCAGATGCTCTCTCTCCTACTTTTACACTTATCTTTTAAGTTTTACTCAGTTCATGTCACACCTCTTTGGATGATGTCCACCCAAGTGATAGCTTTATTTTTAATGCCTTTTACAGGTATTTCTAGACCCAAACAATAATGCATATTTTACTACATGTATGACTTTGGGCAATTCACTAATCACTGACTGGACTTCGGTTTCCTCATTTGTAAAACTAAAGTTTTAGACATTACTTCTAAGATCACTTTCATCTCTAGATCTTTGACCCTGATTCTATTCTCTAGTAAGACAGTAGTCTTGAACATAATGCGGCTTATTCACTAATTATTTGATAGGTGTCTCAGTGGCCCAACTATATTGTAGATTCCCTGTGAGCTGAAATCTGGTCTTTTCCCTCCTTTGTACTCAATACCACCTAGCAGCAATAAATACTTAGCAGGGAATCTTCGAGAAGGAAAATGATTCATTGGTAACATTCTTCGGATTTGTGTAAGTATCCCAGAAACCTATCAGTTGACCTGAATACATTCTGTCCATTTGGGGTAAAGCTAAACCAGCCTGCCACCCTTGGAAACGCTTTGCTATTTATGCTAGAGACTTAGCCTGCTTTACTTAAAATATAAAAAACAAGCCTGTTTGTAAGAACGTTACTTAATACTGAATAGTTTGTATGCATATTTGGAAACTATCAGTGAAATCACAGGTCCAGTCCCCATCCCTATGCTAACAGTGAAAAATAAGTAAAAAGTGTAGGAGCAGATTTGAATCAGAGGACCTAAATTCAATTCAGTTCTGTTTTCTTTGTGACCTTGGATTAGCCACTTAATCTTTCGGCCTCAATAAAACGTAGGGGTTGCACCAGAGACAAAATGATCTTTAAGGTCTCTTCCAGCTCCTACATCCTACGATTCAATTCTGAGTGATCCATCCAACATCATATTATGTTGTCTGAGGCTGAACCGGCAAGAGCCAGGAGCCAGAATTTGCCTTACAAGACGGAAATTGAGGTCTTGAATGTATATAATGCATGCTCCCGGGTTTGCTCAGTTTTGCTTTTTCTCTCGGGGAATTCTTGGCCATTGGGGACTTTCATGAAACTAGAGATGAATGGGGAAAGTTTTGCCCTTGTTTTGAGAACCTAGATAACGGCATAGACACCGAAGTCCTTTAGTGCTGCTCTGGCATCCGGGAGTCCCCAGAAATTAGCCTGGACCCGCCAAATCCTGCAGAGGCTCCCGGGGGAGGCGGGGGGAGTCCGGCCGGCGGCTCGGAGGTCAGACTGACCGGCGAGGCGAGGGAAGAAGGCTGGGAGCGTGGGGCCGGGCCGGCCCGCCACCGGACGGGGCTTTTCCCCAGGGCCTGAGGCTGACGGCCGCTTCTCCGTGGCGGGGGCGGGGCTGGGGGGAGACGCGGCTGTGACTCCGGTGAGCCGGGAATGCTCTGAGTTGCCTCCGCCGGAGCCCGGGCCCTGCTCTGCCCCGGTCCCTCATAAGGAGCTGTCCGACCAGTGGAGTCGAAGCGCTGAGGAGAGGAGAACGCGGCGCCCGCGGGGAAGCTGGCTCTGGGGTCGGCTCTCCGGGCCGCGACGGCCGAGGCAGCGACTTTGCCGGGCTGCCCTTAACCCTGCGGCGCCCAGAGCCAGAGGAGGGCGCGTGACGGGAGATCACCCCTCCCCCACGCTCACCTCCCAGTACTAACGGTCAGCCGCACGAGGCGCGAAGGAGCGTGAGGGAAGACGACTCCCCCCACCCCCGGCTCCCCTCTCCCATCTAACGTGTACATACACACTCACACACACAAACATACACGCACGCACGCACGCAACTCGGTGGGATAGGCGGGGGTGGAGGAGAGAGGAGGGGGCTGGAGGGAGGGAGGATAATAAGCTAACGGCTGGCTAGGCGCGAGGCGCTGAAAGGCTTTATTTGCCTGGAGAGGAGCGCTCGGGCTCGGAAGGCGGTTGGAGGGGAGGGGGAATTCACAGAGGAGACCAGAAGTGGTTAGGGGAGGGGGAAGCGGAGGGGAGAGGAGAGAGGGGGAAGGACTCATGCGCAGAGGTGGCATAGCCGGCACGCGGCGCTCGCGCTCACCTCTTAAAAGAGCCTGGGCTCGGGGTGACCGCCACTTCATTCCAGCCCGAGCGGCTGCTGAGTAAGGAGAAGCTCCAGGGAGTCCTAATGCCCGAGTAGGACCTGCATTGAACTGACGCTTCCTGGGACCTACGGGAGCTCTTAGCCTCCTCCGGCTTACCCCCTTGTAGCCACTCCCCGACTCTAGGAATCAGCTCTTCTGGTCGATGGGACTGAACGTCGCGGAGCGGGAGGTGACGCCCGTCGAGGGGCTCCGGCAGTCCCCTAACCTGCCGGGGAGCCCAGGCATGGCTGGTCCGCGAACCTGAGGACTTGGGGAACGGCTCCGCCCGGCAAATGGGGAAAGCACGGGGCTGCCGCCGGGCCGGGCCGTGAGACGCCTTCTCCCCCAACGCCCTCCCCTCGTCCCCTTTTTAGCCCGGGTGTCGGCACTGGGGCTCGACTGGGAATATGGCCCTGGAGAAGCTCTGCTGCGTCCTCAAAGGTAAGAGCCAGCCCGCCTCTCCCGGGCGGGAAACGGCGCCCCCTGCGGGCCGGGCTGGGCCGGGGCCCAGCCGCTGGCCGCCGGAGCTGTCCAGGGTCTAGCGGACCCGTCCGGGAACAGGAGCCGCTGCTTCCCTAGCCCGCGCCCCGCCTGGCAGCACCTGTCTCTGCCTGGACCCCGGGTCCTCCGCTGCCCTTTCCCAGACCCCGACTCCGGGCTTGCTTCCGTGGCCCTGGAGCGCCCGAGCTCTGCGCCCATCTCCGCTTCTCCTCAGCGCGCACTTGTCCCCGCTCGGGGGAGCACTGGATGCCGGCTGCTCTCTCCTTGTCCTGGGTCGTTTGCCTAAGGAAGGGACGGCGGCGGCCGGCTCCGCGGACCGAGACTTTCGACTAAGCTCCCCCTCGCTCTCCTTTCCTCCTTCCCTGCCTCTGCTGCTGCTGCTGCTGCTGCTGCCGCCGCCGCCGCTGCTGCTGCTGCAAGCCGCCTTTGTCACTCCTAGTGCAGCCAGAAACGATGCCCAGAGCGGCGCCGCTGAAGCTACCCTGAGTGAAATGCACTTAAGCTGCTGTAGCGGCACCTCCAAAAACCTAAAATGTTTTCTTCTTTAAAACTGCTTGTACCAAAGTGTCCCAGTGTAATTTAAAAGCAATAATTTTTGAACTCCTAGTCTAGAAAAAGGTTATTTTGAGGAAAACTAGATTATTGATTGGATGTCTGTCATTCCATGATTTACCATTAAGAAGTGAGTTTTTAAAACTCATTTCAATGTTTTTGATTTTCATGAGATTTCTCATTTGAATATACAAAAATGCTAGGAATACGTGTCTCAGTAATCCATTTATTCTGGTTGTTGATGTGCCTTTCAGATCACTTTTCTTTGTGTTGTCTGTATTCATACTATCAAAGTAATTCTGTACTTAACACATGGTATTTGTTATAAAATCAAGTGCAATACGTATATGTATTTTTTCTATGGTCATTTCTTATCTAGAGCAAAACTAATAAACACAATTCTAAGTAATTTTCTTTAAGAAAAACATTTCCATAGCACTACTTTGGTACATAGATAAGTCATTCAAAAAAAAAAGTAAGCTTCCTAGCTGAGGTCTAGAACATGGCACTGATGTTCTAAATTCATAGTATTCAGAATGTTCTTATATTTGTGTGTAAAATGCTCGTGTGTTTTACTTCCAGCCAGAAGCAAAATATGCAAAGTCAAACCTGTAGAGCTTTTAATTTTCAATCCTCTGCTTCTCAATTCTGAGTGTCGTATGTTGATGAAAGCCATGCACAACTGATAGACAATAACATTTTCTAAGACTAATTTAAAACCCAAGTCCTATTTATTGTCACTTGTGGCTTACAAGATATATAACATTAGAGAAACTGGTTACACTTCAAAGTATTAGGGGTTTCTTATTTGTGTTTCTTTGCCCTTCCTTTTCGTGTCTCTAATCACAATAATACTCCTTGATGGTGGTGGTAGTAATAGTGATAGAGGAGGAGAGTTGGGAGGCTGCGACACCACTGCAGGCTTTCCTGAAGTGGAGCTCAGCCAATGCTGACCCGTTTTCTAATGAGGTACAATGTCTCTGGGGAGTATGGCTTCTTTCAGTCTTTTACACTGGACTTTTCCATGGATGCCATCTCAGTTTCACAAAGTGATATTCCTGCCTATATTTTGAGTGAGATCTTATAACACAAAGCTGTTGCTGTTTGGTTGTCTTCCTCATTTCTGATAATTAGAATTAAAATAGTCTCCTTGTCAAAACTAGTACACTTAGACAAAACATAGTTATTTCGAATTTTCCAAGAGGTAAAGGGTCTGTGTTATGTGTTTGGTTTTTTTTAATAATTAAGGTTGTTCCTCAAAGTTGCTTATGAATTTCTTTCTAATTCTCAGAGGAAAACAGCACAAGGAAACAAAGGGTTTCGCTGTCCCCCTACTTCAAGTAAAAAAGTGGATTTGGCCTTACACTGTTGTAACCTTTTTACATTTCATGGAAAACTTGAGCATTATATCAATGTTTTCATCAGTCTCTGTTTCCATCAGAAGCTTGAGCCAAATTAGGAGGATTTTTTTTTCCTAGTCAGGTCACAGTGAGATAAAAGTTAGTTTGTAATGAAAACATGATAAATTTTCAATTAATGACCTTTGAATTAGCAAAACTTTTGTCAAATTGATATTGAATAATTAACAAATTCAGTGTTTTAATGTAGTCAATAATTTAGTTACCTAAAAGTTTCCTAAATTAACAATTGAAATCTCTTTACCAAATTTAAATAATTCCATTTGATTTCTTCTTGCACAAGCAGTTTGCAATAAATCAACAAGCAAGACTTTTTGGACAATGAATATTTACTTATCTTCCAGGATCAGATTTTAAGAAATCTGAGAGCATATAAACCATATGTTCATTTCCACTCCCTAGATTTTGAACTATTTCTTATTGTGCTCTAGCTATAATAAATAGAATAATCACTTGTAATTTGAGTCCATAGTTTTAAAACATGCTTAATTTCTTATTAATTTAAGTAGACGTTATGTATTAAATAATGTTATAATTTATTTGTCTTCTTTTTATAATAGAGGCTGTGAATTTATTCTTTACAAATTTAGGGATAGATTAATTTCAACAATGTCTTTTGATAATCATCTTAAGGTAATTAAGAGGCACAATAGTCCTTTTAAGGCAGCATGGGACAAGCCCTTGAAAGATTAAAACAGGATTAATAACTACTATTAATTTACATTAATAATAAAACATTAGATAAAGAGTTAAATCATTGGCCTGGAAAATTAGAAGTGGCACAAGATAAGATAGAATTTGATGGGATAGTAGTTGATTTGTTATGCTCATTTTCTAGGCATGTTATATGTGTGTGTTTACACATGTGTGTATATATACACATGTATATGTTTACACATCTGTATGTATGTATATAGCTGAATGGGCATATGTGTACATACATATCTATATATGTGCAATGTATATATACATACATACATGCACACATTCCATTCGGCAAAACCTAATGTGGCAATGGTATTCCTTGTAAATATCAGGAAATATTACCAGAAAATAAAATTCAGTCCCCCCAACCAAAAAAAAAATTGTTAGGTTTTCTATAATGCTATCTGTTTTACTTTTCCATATGTCAGCGATGCTTTTACCTTGTGCCAATGCACTCTGTCCTCTTGGGCCACTAGAAAAAGGGGAATCATTATCAGGTATCATACTTGTTATTTCTTTTAATTATCCATTTTTACTTAATATAGGCTGTAGGATAAAGTAGAAAGAACCCTGAGTTTAGAGTCAGAGGGCCTGAGTTCATATCCCACCTCTGCTACTTTCTTGTCCTAGTAGTCCATGTATGCTTCAGTAGATTTCCACCAAACATAGCAAGTCAGCCAAATTCTAGATTTCAAGTTATAGAATTTTAGTTGCATTTGTGATATTGATGTTACAGAGGAAAAACAACTTTTCATTGGCACTATTAAAAAACACACACCTACTCTGGAATGTGATAGACAATAAACTTTTATTCTACAACCTTAAACCTTATTTAAAAAAAGAAAAGCTTAACCTGTCACAATGACTCAGAAGAGTAAATCAGCTATATAAGAGCAATACCTAAAATAAAATTGTTGGGATACAGCTTCAATTAAATAATCATTTACTAAGGGCCTGAAATTTGCAATGCACTGCACTAGACCCTGGTGTATACAATCCTGGTTGCCTTGGTTGAAAGATGACCTGTTAACATTGTTATGCTATAGGTAACAAGAGCAGGAAAGAGATTAATCTAAAACCTCAACTTTTCTTCCCATTCAAAATAACTAACAAATTCATTTATATATAACTTCTGTGATTTGACAGAAAATTTAAAGCTGGACATTGAAGGAAAATAGAGGCAAATGTTCTCTAAAATATGATTTGTTATCACAATAATGAGAAGGTAGTCCACTCTTGACTAAGGGTGTCTGAGGAAGAATCTGTGGCAATTACAGTAGAAGACATGCACAACTGTCTTCTCAGGAGCACTTTTAATTTCCTACAGTGGTTTGGGTTTGACGAGGAGGCTGTCAGATTTTTCAGAAAAGAGAAAGCACCACTGCTACGAGCTACTTTTTTTTCCTAGAAGTGATTGGCAGTGTGATTAACAAGCATATACTAGGATTCAGGGATTTACAAAGTTCACCAAGCCTTGTATACTTCCTGAGAAGTAGATGTTTAACTACCATAAGGAAGATTGGATGGTAAGGTTAAGCACCTTCTTGTTATCAGATACATAGTAAAACATTTTTGGACCAATATCTCCTATTATTTAAAAAAAATTGCTACAATGACTGAATATCTGCAGCTCCTGGTACTTAAAAATACAGACTGGGCTATAGATGAAATCTCCTCTGTTTTCCATTGAAGATCTTCTGGCTTAAGTAAAGGTTTAAAAAAAAACAACTATGGAATCAT